GTGTTGCGCGCCTGGGGCCGGTGCCTCCAGTGCACCGCACGCCGGGGGCGGGGCCGGCCCAGGTTGTCTGCAGGCGCACACAAATGCCCCAGCGGGCGCCATGGCGCCCGCGGGCACCACATTGGGGACCACTGGTCTAGAGTATATTGATTACAGGAGAATTTTCTGTTTTGCATTTTGAAGGGATGCACAAGGTAGGATCTGGAACCAGTACATATGGAGCAGAGCTATACTTCCAACCTGATCTGGATGGTATAGTCTCTGACTGCAATCTGCAGGGGAAACAAAGTAACCTGGAGCATACAGTCTCTCTAGGGAGAGTGCATGAAATACATTGGAGTCTGTTTTCCACATCAGGGTGGTATAGTGGGCCTGGAAGGTGGAGGAAGTGAAGCCTTTGGCTAATAAATGAATGTAATATGTAAGGTGCTGGCATGTGAGCCATAAGAAGCAAGTGGGATGGAGAAGTCAGCTCGAGACAGAGCACCTGTGGGGAAAGCCACAATAATGGGCAGGAATACAGGATAGTTCTACAATGGAACCTTAACTACAATTATTTCATAATTCTAGTGTTATGTTTTTACCACTACATTCTATTAACTTTTTTTTTTTAAAGACACTGTATTCTAGTGATGTTAGATATCATGTATTTTAGTAACTGTGTAGATGCAACCATTTTTAGCAGTTACTTGGTTATTAAAATACTCCCCAGGTGCAAGACCGGCAACCAGTGTTCCTGGCTCCTGGCCCCATTCCCAGGGAGCCCAAGTTACCTGCGGACAAAGGCTGTTCTACAATCCCACCTGTCCCCCACCACTGTGCTGCCGCTGCCTCTGATACAGAGGCAGCAAGAGGGGGTGTAGTTGTTTGGATTAACCAATAAGGATAGGCTTATTAGTTAATCGTTTGGATGGCTATACGCTAACATCCTTATGATATACTGTCAAACTTTCACAGAATTCATAATTTTTTCTTCCTTAATAGATACATCACATTCCCATGCCCACCAAGCTCACACAACTTAATCTTAATCATGCTTATTAAGATTTTTTTCAGACTTTCTCTTTCATTACTAAAGGTAACAAATGTCCTAGACTCCAGTGATTATCCAGGAGAACTTACACTGGTGTTATTTCAAATGTGATTCTTATGATTTCATAAAACTCCAGTGGCCAATTCTTTGGAGTTTGTGCCACTCTTCCTGCCTCTCTGGGTAGGTCTACACTGCAGCTGAGTGACCCTCCCAACCTGGCTACACAGACTCCTGTTACCAGGGCTTGAGTCTGTGCACAGCCGTATATCAAGAGAAGTTTGTCTCATAGGTGTCAGAAGACAGCAAAAAGGGTCAAAATATGGCCTACTATTAAAACTTTCAGTCTTTATCATGGAGTTGTTATTGTGACTCTAATAGACTAGGTCTACACTACAAGGTTTTTGCACAAAAAACACCTCAAATGAGCTCTTGCGCAATTAAATGGGCAAATAAATGGCAGAACAGAGGGCTTTTTCTGCCTTAGGTAAACCTACTTTTGAGGCATAACTGCTTTTAGCGCTACAGCTATTGTGCAAGAAGGCAAGTATGGACACTCCAGAAGGGTTTCTTGCACTAGAAACCCCTATGGAAAAAAAAGCACAGTTGCTCTGATGGCCATTCTATGAATGGCCATCAGAACTTTCTTGCACAAGAGCATCCAGCAGTATGGATACTCTCTTGCGCAAAAGCATGTCGCTTTTGCCATGTGCTTTGAGGTGTGGACATGCTCTTGCACAAATTTTTCCACAAAAACTCTTGCACAAAAGGCTTCTTGCACATGAAGCCCATAGTGTAGACATAGCCATATTGTAAAGTCAAAATTATTCTGTGGGAAATGTTTTAATGAGATCAAACCAATTTTAACATCAAGGTTACAGATGCAAGCATGCAACGAAAGTTAAGCTTCCCACAGTAATCTTAACTTGCCACCCTGCACATCTCACTCTGTGCATCGCTCCTAAAAGGTAGTCAGGTGTTGCATGTGCAGAGCAAAAAAAATGAGGCCCAGACACATTAAGGTTACACTGGCCTCTAATTCAAGAGAGTCCACGTGTAATATGGAGAAATTAAAAACCTAGCATACAGAGAAAAGTCATAAGAAATGGCAGATGTTTGACACATCTGCAGCCACCCTACAAAAGATTTTCCAGGCTCCCACGTGCCTATTGGAACACCTATGAAATGATTCATGGCCAATGGATTGACCCGCCGATCTGAGTTTTAAATGAAGAGCATGCAAGGGTGCTGCCTGTCACGCCACGCTGCTGCCTCTGATACAGAAGCAGCAGCTCGGGGCATCAGGAGGGAGCAGGTCTGTGCAGGGTGCCAGATTTTAAACTGGCTCCCCTCGGCCACCTTGCGCTTCTGCCTCTGATAGAGAGGCAGTAGCGTGGAGTGTCAGGAGGCTCCCCGGGAGTGGGGCCAGGAGCACACTGGCTGCCGATCCTGCCCCCCGGGGGTACTGAGTAACACTGTAACTGCTAAGAATTGTAAAGGTTCCACTGTTATTAAAATAACCAGTTTCTACTCCTGTGTTTTTATGTGGAGAGCCTAGTTCCACTGTGTATGAAGCAGAGTCCCACAGTACATCCACTCCAGGATGTTTAACTTAACTCAACTGAACAGAACAACTCGGATCCTGCTCCTTTAGGAACAATCCACAGTCCTTTCACCAATGAATTAATTCTGACCAAATAATAAAAAAAAAAAAATCAAGCTAACAATACCTATATGAAGAAGGTAACATCCACCAAAAGCTAAACATAGGTTACTGCTGCTGATCCACTGCACTAGTGCCCCTGTGCTCCTGAATGAGTGATCATGCCAAGAAATAAGAATTTGAAAGGTAGGAACTAGGGAGGTTAAAAATCATGTCATATGCTAACCATGTAACCGCTTAAAAAAAATCTTAGCAGTTACACCTGCTGTGGGCTCTGCATATAAAGCTAAGCTAAACTAAGCTTTATGCTGCAGAGTGTTTAGTTTTACACTGCAGAGCCCTTAGCAGCCTCCCTGGGAGCAGAGCCGCCAACCCCTGCCAGCGAAGAGCCTGCTGAGTGTAACCGATACCATTCATTGATAAGCATCGGTTAATCGGTTATATTCTAACATCCCTAGCAGGAGGTAAAGGTGGTTTCGGTTCCCTAGATTTATGGGCTGTCCAGGCACTGGACTGTTCTCCAGTGTGGCCTCAAGGGGTGATTCTGGCACCTGTGTTCTTAGGGAATGGGGGTGCCCTGGCTATGCCTCCTTCATCCTGGCCATACCCAAAACTTTCAACCAGGAGGGTGGGAGATATAGGAGCTGTCATGGAGGCTCTAAATTATCCAATGGCTAATTAAGAGAATTCAGGACTGTTATGTGATACCAGAGTGCCACAAGCAGTCTAGCATACCAATGTAGCAGGCAACTATGAACTATTTTGAGCAATAACAGCAGCCAGGAGAGTACAGATTTTGTTACAATTTCCATTTTAAGCACTGATCCTGCAACAGAATCTGCCTAGGGGAATCTCTGCACCTGTGCAGAGTAGGGATGTGAGAGCATCCATGTGTAAACAATTAACTGATGAGCCTGGGCTCATCTGTTAATGTACATGGTTACACGCAACCTCCCTACCCCTGCATGTGAAAGTGTAACCACTGAAAATTTCAGCCATTACACGTTTACCAAAATAAGCACATGTTAACGTCCCTACTGCAGAGTCCCACTGACTTCACCAGAACTCTGTATGGGCACAGGGGTCCAGTCATGTGGCTCTTGTTGCAGGATTGTCCCTGATCTGTGCTTTTTAGGATTCTGTATATTTATTGGCTACACCAGTGTTAGGAAGTAGTTTACCTGCCTCCTAAAAAAACAAAACAAAAAAACTACCAAATAGTTGTGTATAAACAAAAACCCAGGAAAAAACAACAAATTTAAGCGATCCTTGACTTCCATCATTTCACCTCAAACTAGTTCAATTTTAAAATAAAACTAAGCAAGTTGTTAGCAAATTAATAACCACTTTTGATAGGGGAAAAAGCCCTTCAAAATGTTTAGCTTTCAAGAGTGTTTAGCACATAAAGCAAGAGAGCTGCATCTGGCAA